TATATATATATATACATGTATGTATATATATATATATATAATTAAAGATAACAAATACAATGATTATTCTTATTTTGTTACCACGTAAGTGTTTTTATTCTTTTTTTGTATGTCAATTCAAATTCATTTGAATTCTTAAAACTTTATTGTCCCAACACCTGCTGACAACAACGCTAAACGGTTTGACGTTATCCGCTTTGAAATGGCGTTGAGGCAGTTAAAGACGCTGTCTTTTTTTTTGTTATTTTTATGATTTAGTTCACTTCAGCTTTTAAATTTTTGCCCCAGAGCTAACATCTGGGCCCAATTTATATATTTACGCCTTGTTTAGCAATTGAACAAAAATGCATCGCAGAAAAGTATAAATAACTGACGTTGCATAATAAGGCCGCAACGGGCCCCGGAGTTGCATAGAGATTTGGGCCGCTTTCCGGTGCCAGGCCCTGCCGCAGAACTGCTGTCTGGTGAGTCGCGAACGCCTAGCGGGTGCAAAACCAGCCGACAAGGTTTGGGTAGCGCAAACTTAATAGTCGTTTTAGCTAAATAAAACGTGTGTTTATAAATAAAAGCTAATTTAAACATCTCTATGTTTTATTTTTTTACTCTTACTGTTGCTATACCGTTTTCTAATGGGACTAGCGTTAGCATTAGCACACGTTACTCTGCACTGTGTTTACAAACAGTTGGCTACCCTCAATGCCAGCAAGTTAGGTTATTTGTTAATATTGCAATCTCTTTCCACAAGCAAACTGTCTTATATTAAACCCTACAGGCGGCATAAATTAAATTTAATCTATTGTTTAAAATTATACTTTATAAAATAGTTTTGCGTGCAAGATATCCATGACTCTGTGCTATGCGATTGAATGTGAACATGTTTCGTTGTTCAGATAGTTTATTAATGTTTATTATTTCGTATCAGGATTTTCTGATTTAACCGTTCAATTGACTAGCATGCACAATTTCTGTGTTTTATTTTCTAAACCTCGATTAGCGGCTACTGACACTTCTCTCTCCTTTTTTCCTTTTTGTTTTAACAGGTTTTGAGGGTTTTTTCTCCCGGCTTAAAATGACTGTCAGAAACGGAGATCTGGAAATCAAGTGACAAATTTGGACTCTCTTTGTAACCATCACATAATCCAGTAGCTTTTACTGTTTTATGTATTTATAATTATTCAATTTGTGCAATAATTGCCTTTTTGCACGTACCAAACAGATACTAAATATGGCATCAGTGCCAGTGTATTGTTTGTGTCGCCTGCCCTATGATGTGACACGCTTCATGATTGAATGTGACATCTGTCAAGACTGGTTTCATGGAAGGTAAGATTTTTGTTGTTTAAAAATATACCTTAAGTTCCAGTTGTGTAATGCCTCATATTTACTGACAGCTGTCTAAAAAAATAGCCATTCATCTGTCTCTACCATTTGTTTAATGGACCCATTTTCTATCCAGCTGTGTTGGCGTTGAAGAGGACAAGGCAGCTGAGATTGACCAGTATCACTGCCCCAACTGTCAGGTCACCCATGGCCCCTCCGTCAGTAAGTTTCTGTTTTACTTACTTTTGGTAGGTAAAGCCCGGCATACACTGTGTTTTCAGGGCGATTTTCCAATCGAGCGAGAATCTTTCGATCAGGCCGACTTTCAGCCTGATCGTGCGTTGTGAGTCGTGTAGTGTACAGGGGGTTATGAATGGCGATCAGCCTCTCACGACCACCTCCCAATCAGGAATCGTGAGGTCGGAAAATCAAACATCTTTGATTTTTTCCCGACCATCGTGGGCAAATTGGTCAGTGCGCAAACAAGGATTCTTCTTTTTATTCTTCCTCTCAGATGTAAACACAGCAGCATGGCAGGGATGCAATGAGTGAAATGCAGTTCTGTCTGTAAAATTGACGGACCGTAGTAGCCACGTTTGCTCAGCCATGTCTTTTTTCCAAATACTTCGTTGCCTTTTCTTTTCAGGGCTTTCATCACCAAATTGCCAGGGCAGCGCGTTCCACTGTAGTGAGCTTAATATTCCCCTTCTACTTGTTTGGCTTCTGGATAGACGAGTCAGAGCAGCTCCGTCTCACTGCGGAGCTGAGTCCGACATGCTTTTTAGTCGTACAGTGTGAGCAGGTCGATCCCATGAGAGCGTCAGGCCAAACATAAATGTTGAGCTTTGAGCTGACACTGTACGACTAAACCCTGCGATTAGTCGTATAGTGTGAGCAGCAGCTGCGTGCACAGTGTACGCTCGGCCTAAATGAAAAATGTAAAAATCAATTAGGGGTCTCAGAGTCTAGAAAGCACTTTTTGTGAACTTGGTAATTAACCATTTTCCTACCAAGGTGCTGAAATATCCCTTTTACTTTGTTGATGTTGGCTGTTTACTAGTACTAAGGTATATCAGTGTTTAAAATAAGTTTTCATGTTAAACGTACTGAGCTGCAGAAGTTTGAATATTACAACTCTGGCATATGTTGCTTCAGACTTGTTTCACCTGCTTCAATAGTTGAAAGCTGAAAATAAACCATATCAAACAGTCAAAATGCACTGCAGGAATACTTGACGTGCTTCCACCATAGACTTTGTATGTAATCCAGACACACTGTTACAAGAAAGACAAATTAGCTTTTTTTTAAATAGTTAAGGTCTTAAACACTTGTGTGCTAGGGAGTAGATTAAAGCTTTATCAAATCAACATTTAATGAAAATTACATTTAGCAAGCTATAGCACGCTGTATCCGAACAGTGGCAAATACCCTAGGATTTGGTTTAACAAAACTGCAGAGCAATAATAGTCTGCACAATGAGCCCTCTTAAAAGCCTACTAAATTTTGTGGATGTTTTCTTTTTTTGTTTAATTTTTTTGCAGCTATATCAGAATAGCGTTGATTTTGAAAAAAAAAGCATGTTTTACATAATTTTAGTAACAACTGAAATATTTCTTCTCTGTTTAGAATTAAAAAGATTGGATCGTGTTAGATTTTTTGTTCTAAATTTGTGTAATTACTAACGTTAACCTGGGATGTTATCACTTAATTACCCTGACAATCTAATATCAGCCCTGATTTGATTATTGACATTCAACTTTGAGGTTCTGTTATTATTTTCCTGAATAATCATGTAATTTTTTTTTTTCAGTGCGCAAACGGCGTGGAGGCAATAAGCAGACAGATGGAAATACAGGTACAGGAAGGGACCCCAGTAAGCCTGTAAAAACAGGGAGTCCACAGTTTGTCAGGGAGCTTCGTAGCAGAACATTCCCTAAGTATGACACTTTTCTGATTATCTTTTTGTTTATTAATTTATTCAGCCAATCATTTATGGAGTAGCAATGTGTGTTTAAATTTTGAAACATCACATTTTCTTGTGCTTTTTTGTGTGTGCAGTGCTGACGAAATCTTGCTGAAGCCATCTGGGGCTCAGCTGACGGTTGACTTTCTGGAGGAGCATTCTTTCAGTGTTCCTGTCATGGTGTTGAGGCGGGATGGCTTAGGGATGACCCTTCCTCCATCCTCGTTCAGCGTCACTGATGTGGAGCACTACATTGGTACATTTCTCTAGTTAGATGTCTCTGTGTAGTTGCACTGCATTCCTAAATGTATGCATTTCTATATGCAAAAATATTGGTTGAGCAAAACTTTTTTGGCTCATCTGAAGCTAAATGTAAAGCTTCAAATGAGACAAAAAAAGTTTGCTTAACCCTGAATTACAGTTTATTAGGCTTATTTTATCACGGCTCTAGTTTTCTACCCTCTCTCGTTTCCTTCATGTTTAAAAAGAGGGGCTTTGTTATAGCACCTTTATTTCTCTAGTTTTGCTGCTATAAATAATTTAGGGGTTTAATTATGAGTTCTGCTTTAAAAATAAAATAATATGAGAATGTGAGATCCCTAATCATACAGATCTTTGATTTGTTTTTCTTATTGCTCCCTAAAAATGACTTTAAGATGTTCCTAATATATTTGGTTTCTTACGACAGAAGACACTATTCAATTTAATTTATTTATATAGCCCTAATTCACAGCACATTTCAACTTAAGGCACTTTACACAGAAAATCATTCGAATCATGATGATGGGTAGGTTAAATGTAGGGCTGCAACTAACTATTATTTTGCTAATCAATTAATCTGTTGATTTTTATTATTTATTTATTTTACTTTTTTGATTAATCAATAAATAAGTGGAAAGCAAAAGGTTCCCTAAAGAAAATTTTTTAAAAAGACTTTAACCAGGTGAAACTTAAACTTTTCCACGAAAGGCGTTATGGATAGAGCATATTGACAGATCAAAAAAGTTTTCCTTAATGCAAAATGTTTATATATATTTTTTTTACAATTTTGATATAATTACTGCTCTAAATGGGTTGCTCTGTCAGCTAAAGTCATGCTTTAGAGTCTCAAGGCTTCAGTTAACAATTATTCGACTAAGAAATTAGTTGACGATTAATAATCAATTAATCCGATTAATTCTTTCAGAAATAGTTAAAAGTTCTGTCTATGGAAACCCAAATAATTGTATCCAGACATTGATTTTTCACAATTCACTGCTCCTGGATGAGCTTCCCTATTCCTATCTAGACAAGTAAAGTGTCTATTACAGTTGTGGGACTTTGTAGAGATCATTTCTCATCTTTAGTTCTGTTTTTGTTTCTTTTATTAGGTTGCTTTTTTTTATGGACAGTTAAAGTATAGTTACATTGTTTTAAATAAATAAATTTTATTGGTGGTTAGAGAAATAGTATTTATTTGTTCCTGTGTTGTGTTCCTTATAACATTTTGCTCTAAAGTTTCTAAAATGCGTTTGATTGCAGGTCCAGATAAAGAGATTGATGTTATTGATGTGGCTCGTCAGTGTGATCTGAAGATGCGACTGGGAGATTTTGTTGAATATTACAACAGCCCTAATAGAGACAAAGTGCTCAATGTGATCAGCCTGGAATTCTCTGAGACTAGGTAACCAAAATAAATTACAAGTCAAACCTGTAGAGGACTGTTTGGGTTGGCGATTCTTTATGTGATGTTTTTAATTCGATATAGGCTCTCAAATTTGGTGGAGACTCCCAAGATTGTGAGAAAACTTTCCTGGGTGGAAAATCTCTGGCCTGAAGAGTCTGTTTTTGAACGACCAAATGTGCAGAAGTACTGTCTAATGGGGGTGAAGGACAGCTACACAGACTTTCACATTGACTTTGGTGGAACTTCTGTATGGTACCATGTCCTTAGGGTGAGAAGACTTTTTTTTATATTGTTTTTAGGAAGTTTTAACTTCTGTTTGTCATTATAATTAAATAAACACTATTTTTAAAAACGTGTTTTTCTATTCTTAGGGCGAGAAAATCTTTTATCTGATTTCTCCAACCCCAGCCAACCTGGCGCTGTTTGAGCGCTGGAGCTCCTCATCTAACCAGAATGAGATGTTCTTTGGGGATCAGGTTGATATGTGTTACAAGTGTTCTGTCAAGCAAGGAAACACACTGTTCATACCCACAGGTATTAAATGATACTTTTATTTTTGATGCATCAGAAATGGTTGTTTTTTTATTTCTGTGCGCTGTGAAATACTCTTTAATTAGCTGGACTTATTTCTCTAACTACTATGCACTTCACTGTTTTAGTCTTCTATGCATACAAATAAATGGACAACCCCTTTACAAATGTGTTTGACATAATGTGGACCCAGTTTAAATGCTTTCACATTATTGATTTCTGTTTTACAGGATGGATTCATGCTGTGCTGACTCCAGTGGACTGCCTTGCTTTTGGAGGAAACTTTCTACACAGTCTAAACATTGACATGCAGCTGCGGTCAGTTTTCTAATCGCACTCCTCCTCATTGCAGAATATTATTGCTAATTTTTAATTAAAGTTACAAAAACACTTAGATCATTACTTTATAGTTCATGAAATATGTATTTACATCCTAGATCATTTGGACTTTCTTTTGAAGGAAAACAGTAGATTATCCTGATTGATGTAAGGACACAAGAAACAGGGAAATTAGTTTTCAATGCAAGCCAATAATTCTGCTAGATGACTTAAGGCTATGTGCACTATATGTTTATGTATCTTTATTTATCTTTTTCTAGTATTATTGTTAAAGCACTGAAAGAGCTTATGATAGAAACATATTTTGTAAAGAATCTTTCTATCCAGATTGGCATGTGAAGTAGTGGAAGAGCAAGCGCCCAGTATACAGATGTCTATTTTGGATCCCGAATGTGGGACCTTAGCTGCATGTCTTGCTCTGTCTAAATCCGCCTGTTCCTCCTCTGATTACTCTGAATAAAGGATCTAGCACAATATATTCCAAAAAAGTAATCATCACATTAAAAGATGCGTGACTTTTTATTTTACTCCCTTTATTAAATCAAACTACACCATTCTTGTTATAGGCCTGTTACAGTTTCTTTAAATTCAATGGAAACAATGCAGCCTACTAACCACGCTTACGTTAAATGGATAGAAGCTTCAGTGTGTCTTAAAATGCCCTTAACACGTTAATTCAGTGTTTAGGGGCTTTAAACCGAGACAAGGTTAAATTCACTAGTTGTTCTATCCTTTTTCCCTGCTAAATTCCTGTTTACTTCCTGTTACCATCAGTTTAATCATCAACCAAGTCTTTGGAAAGTCTGTAGCCTCAGCCAATTTCCCAGCAATCAGAACTTGATCTCTTTTTATTTTTGTGCCAGTACATATGACATGAAACAAGATCAGTTGACTATGTACACAGGTGTGTTATTCTAATAATCACTAATATCCAGTTTTTGCTTTGGGTTCACTTTAGGGCGTATGAAATAGAGAAGAGATTAAGCACTGCTGAATTGTTCAAATTCCCCAACTTTGAGACTGTATGTTGGTATGTGGGGAAACATCTTCTTGATATCTTTAGAGGTGAGAACAATTAATAAATATCTAATTATGTTGAATTTTTATGTGAACTATAACCAATAGTGTGATTTAATTCATTGAATGTTGTTTATCCTCCAACAGGATTGAGAGAAAATCGCAGACATCCTGCCAGTTATCTTGTTCATGGAGCTAAGGCCCTAAACAATGCCTTCCGCACCTGGACCCGCAAAGAGGTAGAATTTCCCTTCAGGTTTTATGTTTTTAAAGTATAAGGTTTTATGTTAACAGGTTTTTATTAGCTTGTTAAAAAAATATATTGTTTCAGTGAAAACTCAATGATTCGATTGTAGAGTTACATTTTTATCTTAACTATTGCAAAAAAGCAATTAAAACTAATTTAACTGGATATGTCAGTGATATAATTTACCTCATAAATTTCCATTCCTGATTCTTATTATTTTATGACAGGACTTAAACAGTTAATTATTATTTATCGTATATTGAAATAATTATGAAAAAACTTAAAATTATTAACCACAGTATAAAGACTCTAAACCATAACATTTATTAAAAGAAAAAAACTTTTGATATAGGAGACAGGACTGTAGAAAAATGTAGAGATTTTTCATTAACGATAAAAAAAAAAAAAAAATTCTCTGTTTATATTCTCTATCCAGAACTCAAGTGGCATAGTTCTAGCTTCACCTGGGTCAAGTTCTGAAAAAAGATCTCCTCTTATGTACCTTTTGCTATCTGATTATTGATCAATAAAAAAAAAAAAGAAAAAAAATTTCAATTAACAAAAGATTTACTTGCACCCTAGTCTATTACAACAAAAATACAAAATAATGTATATGAACATTGAACATTTCTGTCCTTTTTTGTCACGTATTATTTTAATTGCTTTTATCCATATAGCTACATTTTTGGGAAAGATTTGCTCCTAGTTAATATTTTAATTAATCTGAATTTGTCTTTGAATGTTGTGTAAGATGAATGATGGTAACTTCCTGCTTTCAGGCCTTAGCGGAGCATGAAATGGAGATACCAGAGACCATCAATACTCAGACATTAATAAAAGACCTGGCAAAGGAGATTCGTCTGGTGGAGGTAATATTTTATTTTTTAGAAATTCATTCACACATCTTTTTATAAGCTTTATTATTATAAACTATACTTTTTCTTCATTAGGATATATTTCAGCAAAACATTGGTCGCACAGGACCTCCGTTTCCTGGTGCTCCACTCTCTAAAGCACCGCTGAGCATCGCTCAGAACTCTGGTCGCCCCCCTGGAAAAAAGAAAGGACCCAAGCCTAAGGAGGTGTTGGGGGTGTTTGGGCCCCCTGGAACCAAAAAGAAAATCCAGAAAGGGCTCATTAAGGCAGAAGTAGGAGAACTTGAGCTCATTGAGATCCACGCTAAACATACCCTCAAGAAATTTCAACCTGGCAAGTCGAAACATAAGACAAAGGTATGTAGTTTTCACTTATTTGTTTTATAGAATGTAATTGTGTATTTAACATTTCATAAATGTTTTGCTGCTGTTTCCAATGTCTATTTATAGCTGGAGCTGCCATTAGATGAGTTTGAAGGGAAGATCAATAAAAACAAGCTCAAACTTGTCTTGACCAATGGAAAAATTCAAGGGTAAATAATAAAGCTCATTGGTAGTTTCCTGGGGTTTTTTGTCCTTTTTTTTTTTTTTTTTTTTTTTTTTTTTTTTTTTTTTTTTTTTTTTTTTTTTAATACTATGCTTGTTTTTTCTTTACTGACTTAGTAAGAAAGATGGTAGCAGTAATGGTGCCGGAAGTGCTGGAAGCTACAAACACCTTGCCACAGAGGGATCCAGTGTTTCTGACCTGGAGTCTGAGGATGAGCTGCAGATAGATGAGACTCCTCCTCCGCGACGCAAGTCAACCGGACCGAACAAGAAAAGGAAACTAAGCGGCAAGTTTTGATTGCAAAGTACCACTAGAGGGCAAAGTTCAGTTTTGTGGTTTCCAAGGTAAACTAACAGTGCAGTATTGTTCATTCAGGTCTACCAAGGAAGTTGCCCAGAGCTAAACCTTGCTCTGACCCTAATCGCATCAGGGAGCCAGGAGAGGTAGACTTTGATATAGAGGTGAGTTTTATTATAGTATGTTTATATAGTATGTTTAATTTTTTTATTTTATTATGTTTTTGTTTGTATGTATGTTTCAAGTATGAAACAGAGTATGTTTCAAGGATATGTAAATTTAAAAGATGAAAAAAGAAAAAGCTCCAGCTGTTAAGCTTTTGTTAAAGATACTTTTTCATTTTACCTTTGTTACAATTTGAATAAATCCTAATACTAAGCTTATATATATATGTGTGTGTGTGTGTGTGTGTGTGTGTATGTATGTTTGTATGGTGTGCATGTAAGGGAATGCCTATTCAATAATGATCAAGTTTTTGCTTACCCTGACATTATTTCATTTTAACTGTTAAGATGGTACTATTCAACTCTTCTTCGTGACTAACATTTGGCTGATTGCATATGTTTCCTCAGGAGGACTACACAACTGATGAAGAGGCTTTGGCAGCTCATGGAGTTAAAGGAGGTGCAGGAGGAATCCTTGACTTGTTAAAAGCCAGCAAGCAAGTGGCAGGTTTAGATTCTGCTGCGCTCAGGTTTGTTGGCTTAGGCATTGATGTTTTATTTCTTTTTCTTTTAATAGTTGTGTATGTTTTTATGTTAACAGTATTACTTTGGACAGTATATATTTTTGCATTTTAACAAATGCAAAGGAGAAACATTAATTGAAATAAAAACAAAGTTGTTTTTATTTTGCATTTTAATATATAATATACCTGAGGTTCTGCCCTTTAGAAGATGTAAATATCAGAATAGCTTTCATAGAATATTCTTTGTCTAAAATGACTTCCCATGTTAATATTGGACTATTATTAAAAGAGGGTTTAATACCAAAGAGTAATGTCATTGCTATACAAGGCACAGAGAGATATCTGTCTGGCAGACAGACACCTAAAGTCTTTCCTTAAGCAGCGTGCTCTATCCAAGCATACTGATAGAAAGTTGACTGAAACAAAAAAAAATGGTGTAAGAAAATTCAACTAAGGTGTATAATTTAAGATTTTTTATTATTATTATTATTGATTAGCTCCTGTAATTAATATCTTTCTGCTTTCCATTTAGTGAGGAAGCACCAGCCTCTCCCAGCACCCGAGATGCCATTCAGGGTATGCTCTCCATGGCAAACCCTCCTTCCTCATGCTCTTCATCCTCCTCTTCCTCTCCCTTATCAATCTCTGGAGGCCTGACAGAGGGATTAGCAGCTGTCAAGGAAAAGGGTGGAAGAACAGTGTGGGTCACGGGGGGAATCAAGAAGTCTGCAAATCTTGAGAAAAAAGCGGTGATTCAGCGGCCTGGTAAAAGGACAATTAAAAGGCCAGCCCGTCACATTAGTGATGAAGACAGTCCAGATGAGCAAGAAACACTGGGAACTTGTTTTAAAGACTCAGATTATGGTGAGCACCATAATATAGAGCCTCTATTTCTCATAGGAATTCTAAACATAACATTGAAGTGTATAACACTACCTCAAGTTAAGATTTGTCAATTCTATCTAAGTTTACCCTTCCTTGGAGTCTGATGAAGAAGATCACATCAGCAAGACGAAGATGAAAAGGAAGAAAAATTGGGATGACACACCGTGGAGCCCTAAAGGTATGCATCTTTTTTAGTCAGATTTATTCCAAATCTTCCTGATGGCGAATGTATAATGGTCACTTTCACTGACAGCAAGGGTGATGCCCACGCTTCCTAAACAAGATCGACCAGCCAGGGAAGGGGCTAGAGTTGCCTCTGTAGAAACCGGGCTTGCAGCGGCTGCTGCAAAGTTGGCACAACAAGTGAGTTATTAAAGAACACTGTTTCTATGACAAACATGCTGTTGGGTGGATGGAAAAGGTATTGTTGTTTCTTTCTGGTTATGATTCAGGAACAGCAAAAACCTGCTAAAAGGAAGTACACCAAAAAGCAGCGTCCTCCTGCTCCTGTTGTCAGTCCTCCCCCTGTCCAGGCTGAGACCAGCCCACCCTCCCCAACACCTGCTCCGGAGTCTGCAGCAGATGACAGCCCAGACAGGAGGATGGATTATTTCTCTGCCAGTCTGTTGGACCATGAATACACTGCTGGACCAGGACCTTTTGGCCCTGGAGGACCAAGGGGTAGTGGTGCCATGGCCCCCGGTGTATTCCTCTCTTCGCGACGACCTTCCATGTCACCTCAAAACAGCAGCTCTCATGCTGGTTTATCTCCTGCAGGTTTAGCAAGCCAGGGGATAACAGGAATCGGTCAAGGTAGGGACAAATCTTAATAACCAGATTCGGAGCTTTGTTTTCCACTTTTTCAGTTTCTGTTCTTTAAATGTTCTGGTTATTTTTGGACTTTCCTCCAGGTAAGCGGCCAAAGAAGGGTCTTGCAACTGCAAAACAAAGACTCGGAAAAATCCTAAAAATTCACCGCAACGGAAAACTTCTCTTGTAAGAGATGTAAGGTTGCAGTTGATGACATTAAAAATAAAAGAGGAGGCCTCTGGATTTGGTCTGAAGAAACAAGAGATTGTTATCTATATAGTTTGTACTTTTGTTCAGCTGTTTTCGTTAGTGTTCAGCTTTCAACATATCTTGTTCTTCACAAAGTTTCTGCCAGACTCTACTTACCGGTATCTGCATCAAAATATTATCAGAGGCACATTTGACTTCAAGTGGAATCACTGTAGTGTGCTGGAAGCACTCTTTGTGTGGTCATTTATTTTGTTGCCACATATTTGTTATTAACAATAGGACATTTTTTTTTATTTGATGCGATTAGGCAAGACTTTTAAAAGGGAAAATGCTCATATAGACTCAGTAGTTAATAGTTGTCTATAGCTGTTTTATCCCTGATAAATATTTTACTCTGAAACCCGCAGGTGTGCTAAACCTCCCATTGCAGACGGTATACTACATATTCAAATTTCTAAAGCTCTTAAAATTATCAAAATAATTCTCAACCCAACTAAATTCAATGACAACCATCATTTAATTTTATTTATTCTTATATTTATTTACCAAGGCAGAACTTATTAGCCTGTTTTAATGTAGCATGTTTTTGTCACTGTTTTGATCAGGAAGGTTCATTTTAAATATTTCAAAACATGTTGGGGGGGGTCTTTCCACCGCTAATTTAGATTTTATTTTTTCTTTAGATTTTAATTTGACAATGTAAATATTTGTATTATTTGTAATTTATATAGTAAAATAAAAAAAGAAAAGGAAAAAAAGAGTAGTTCCCTGCATGTTGCCGTAATTTGATCACAAAGTTTTGGCAGCTCTCTTTGGTCAGATTTAGAAACATTTTCACAGAATGTATTTGTCAGAAGGTGTTGGAGGTGTAGATTTAAGAGTAAAAATATTGTGAAGGTGCAGGATATGAATAATATGTAAATATATGTTGTAATTTAAGTTCTTTTGTAGTTCAAAAACTCTCATTTTTAATAACTTGTACATGATACATTTTCGGGTAAACATAATAGTTCTTTTTTATATTTGTATGCATTAACTGTCATTATGTTCATGTTGTCTTGTTAGTGCAATGTTAGATTTGTGCTTAAATAGATGCTCTTGATAAATTTTATCCATTTAGTTTTATATGGTTTATATTCCCTTCTGAGTGTTCTGTGTCTCCTATTTTTTTTCATTAAGTGTTTTGCTATAACCTGGAAGAGTTCAAAGTTCATTTGAAGAAAACCTTTTTATAGAAAAAGAAGTTAGATTTATTCGGCAAGTTGATGTTTTATTTTGCTCATCATACTTCAACCTTCTGAAAATTTCATTTTTTCTGACATTTGGAAAAGAAAGGGGATTTAGGTATTTTTCTGCTATACACAATGAATATTTTGTTGTAATAAACACATTACTCATAAATGCTTGTTTTAAAGTTTTTTATTATGTATACTAGAATAAAAAAGGCACCTTTTTTAGCAATTAGAACAATTCCTGCTAAGATTTTGTGCTGATGTTTTACTAAAAGAAGTTCTGGAAACTATTTTTAAAAAGGAACGTTTAAAAGAAGAAGCAGCTTTATTGCCATTGTACAAGATAAAATGAAATTTCATTTTATCATCATTAAAATATGCTATTTAATAAATAGGCTGTAAATATTAGAGCAAAAAAAAAAAGTGCTGTAGTCCATTTATTGGACTTGGAGGAGATGGTGTGAGTTTCTGTCCACCCTACAGAATTTTTATAGCCATGTTGGTGCAGGCTTACGTGACCACTGGCAGAGGGAAAGCTGGTTTAAAAACACGGTACTGGATGGGCTTGAATCTGTGTAGCTTGTCAAAGGAGACTGCTTGAGTAGATCTCTAGTGAGGTTAGGGGAGCTCTGCAGTTTCTGCAAAGCAGCTGGCATACCAGACTACAACAGGTCAGGACAGGAGAGTGGTACAAGAACCATGTGTTATACTTCAATATTGAATTAAAATACAAACTTTTTGTTATTAAAGCATTAAGAGGTATTGTTCTATATATTTTAAATCTGCTGCTGTCCAACTTTCTTTTGTTTTTCACAAAAATATGCAAAAGAAAAAAAGTTTGATCATTCTGAATGAAAATATTTGAATGAGTCGACTGATAACTGGTCAGGGTGCCACAATATAAACAAATAGATCATTTTAAGAGAAAACAAAACTTTTAAGTTCCCAAAAATCTGTTATGAGGTAAAAGATATTTCTATACAATAATCTATTGAAAACATTATGTAGAGTATTTGGACTATGCTGACAAAACTTACTCTTAATATTCTTAGGTCAACAAATTTTACCTTCTACCTGTATGTCTAAAGTTCAGAGAAAGCAGCATTTGGAGCGATTCAAAGAGGACCTGCAGCCTTAAGTCTACAAGCCTTGTTCTAATAACATAGAAGGTCCACATATCAGTCCATGATGAAGGATCTGTTGTGATGAGATCTCAATCAGGAAGGTCCTAGAGATACCCCTTTGGCCCACCTGAGTGGGCACACAAACAGATATTGGAACATCCTGCCTTTTTCTTAACCCTGTGAAGTTAAAAACATTATCGGCATGTTTTAATGACCCACTGTAATCTAGAGAAAAACATGAGGATCATGTAGTCTGCCTTCTTTGATATGTTCAACACAATTCTGCTTCATTCGCTAACAGGTGGGTGCCACCTAAATCAGATTTTGAGACAGAGAGAAGCTAACCAGGGCAGCATCACCACAGATGACTGTGCTCTCCTCATTTATATACATTTCAGACTTCCTGTACAAGACAGCCCTTTCTTATAAATGCTAGGGCTACTTTTCTGCTTTTAGTTGTATCAGACACAGACAAGAAACTAAGCGGTGGTTCACCAAGATAATGATTTTAGAAGGCACAGGAATATGCCAAATATTTCCATAATTGGAAAGGAAGTTGATGTGGCAGAGAACTAAACAACTCTGTGTTCATCTAGACCTAGACTGGAAAAACCACAGCAGTGAAGCTGTATACCAGAAGAGATAGGCAATCTGTACTTTTTTTAGTGAGCTTAGATTCGACAGCTTTTTAGGGAAATGTTGATGTTGAGCCAGCAGAATCAAAGCCAGTGATTTGAAAAGCCAACAAAGTGAACACTAAGGCTGGTTTTGTTTTGGATTTTGGAGAGAAGGATGCTTCATAAATGAGAAAGATAATGTCATATCTGTGCAACCCTTTCATTAGACTGTATCTCAGATTTGGATAGTACTAGTTATATTTCCTCAGTTACATTTACTTCTGTAACTTAAAAAAACAACACCTTATTTTTACAGCATTGTACATTATACTTTTACTTGGGTAAAAATATAAAATCTCAACTCCTATTTGAGTAACATTTCTGGCTACTTCATCCATTATGAGTAACGTTACTTAAGGAAAACAAGCTTGTTTAAAAAAAAAAAATATGCACCACTGAGAGACACACTTTTTTTGTGCTCAAGGTTATTTTCCATCCGCTGAGTCTCCCGAGTTATTTGGAGGCTGAGTAAAAATATAGTTAACATTATACTGTAATTTCAGTAACTCTATTGATTTTGTATTTTTTTATCTACGTCAATGTTTTATTGTGTAAATACTGTATGTTCTATACTTATTTTTACCTTATTATTTGAAATGCCAACATTTTTATATTAAACTGGGTTCATTTTTACAAGATTTTGTAAAAAAAAAAAAAAAAAAAAAAATTAAATCAGTTGTGATCATGAGAACTTAGTATAGTATCAGTTTGTATATCATACTTCACAGTATGTCCTCTGGGAAGAGACTTGGCAGCATCCAATTCAAGTCCAGCAGATTCCAGTTTCTTCCCCACTGCCATTAGACTGCTGAATGTTGTATAAAATGGGGTTATTAAAAAAAAAAAAAGAAAAAATTTTGTAACTTGTATACAGTCGTATGTGTACATTTATCACTGCTGCACTTTAAAAAATGTAAATGTCTTTAGAGCTGTACTGAACAAATTTTCTTTTTGTATACACTCTGTGTACAAATTGACAATAAAGTCTAAGTCTAATAAAAAGTTACTCACTGCTTAATGAGACTTTTTACCATTACTTTTTAACTCTTACTTAAGTAATTTCTTTAATGTCTACTATTTAATTTGACTTGAGTAAAATATAATGAAGTGGGGCAACTCTTACAATTTTTGGGTACTCTACCCACCTCTTATCCCAATAACTTATTCAGTCTGGGGTGTCTTCCAATCAGTTCAAGGTATGCCGTTCTCTACCCACAGCCATTGCACAATAACTATTCAAAGAAATCTAAACTATAATATCTAATTTTCATTTAGGATGATATAGTATTTTTGTACAGAATTGATTGACTTTCCTGATTTTGGTAGATTGAAGATTGATTCACATGTAATATATTTCTTTTTACTTAATTTCTCTCTTTTTTATTTTTTTTTTACTGTACTTTCGGTTTTACAGTTCTTGATTAGACTGTGACAGGTGGTAAATTAGTAACCCATTTCCTTCATCCCAATGAAAGATTGCCTTGTAACAACAATCACAAGGGAGTTCCCTAGTTTGCCAGCAGCAGGTATTCTCGCGAGAATCTAACTATCCTACCACATTCTAGTGCAAGATGGAGAAGTAGATGTAACACCGCATTTGAGGTAAGCAGAAAGGCTTATTCTGTACTACCAGTGCCAGTCTGGGTTTCTGCTATGTTTAGGGACACATTTCTTCCAGTCTCTAGCAACAGTTGTTAATGAAACCCACTGCAGAAACTAGCATGTGCTAATGGGTAGAGTATAAATCATTAGCTATGTATACCGCCATGATCTGACGGATGGAGCATTCTGCGCAGCTCTTGGTGCTAGCCTGTTAGCTTTCCGACGCTCCCAAACATATACCCGTCGCACCAGCACTGGAGTTTGCTCTCTATAGGTATGTGAGGGGCGGTAAAAGTCAACGCCTGGACAATAATTTGGCCTAAACCTTCGCCTGTGTAGTTGGTTGGTGTGAAAATTAGCATATGTCCCGGTGTAACGTCCCGGAACTTGACTTCTCGCTATTGGCTAACGTTAGCTTTCAACGTTGAATGAAGCCAAAGGAACGTCGCGAGCCATTAACGTTAGCGCAAACATTAGCTTGAACTGTTTAGATAGCAGCCCTAAAAATTAGTAATTTTGTGAAAAAAATCGACTAAGGCAACTTGAATTGTTGTCATGTTGTTAATATTCTATATGTTTTCTCAACTTTTTAAGTTTTTGTTCTCATGAAGGACTTCTCTGACCTGGTCTGTGACGTATTGCTAATAACAAATTGTGCAACGGTTGTTGTTATAAAATATTTACATTGAGAAGCGGAGGCCCACTGTGTAAGATTTAGATCAGGTCGCGATAATCGTAAATGAGAGTAGTCAGACCCATTATAATGTAGCCTAGACAAACTTAGTTTAGTTACACCTGTTCACCTGCATGAAAAGGAAATATCTCACCGACCAATGACGTGACGGTGGCTGAGGGTTTGAGGCACGTGATAACAAGAGGAGATGCTGAATGACTAAACATATCGTTTGCATTGATTTTGAATGTTTTCTTCTTGTTTCGGTGTTTGCTATGCTAGGCGAAGCTGACAACTCGGGTTGCAAACATATGCCAAAATGAAACTCTTAATTTAAAATATCAAACCACACCACCTGCTCCTTGGATCTATTGACCAAAATTGACTGATCAATGTGTATAACTTTCAGGTGCAAGTCAGCAGATAGATTTAAAAGCATGACTCCAGTCTCCATTCCAGCCTAGTAGTTGACAACATTAATGTTTTTGACCCAATTTCTAATTTATTTTTGTTCCCTGAATGTTGCATTTCTACCAAAGCACATCTCACTAAAGTTGGTAAAAGTAGATTACCTAGATAAGATGTAATTGCAAGATCTTGTGTAAAAAGTTCCCCAAAAATCTGACTGTCTCCAGTTGCATCCCTCATTGCATCTGTGTTAAAAATCTTCCTTCATTAGTAACTCAAGCTTACTTTAAATGTACTTCATTCATATTTCAGTTACGGTCATGAGAACTTTACCAGGTGGAAACCCATTTGTTAAATAATTTACTCCTTTATTCTTGTGTTTCTTCTTTGTTATAAAATCTTACATAATACATTTTAATTTAATTCCAGAAACATGCATATTTGGATTGAATTTTCACTTAAAGGTATTTATTGTAGTCACATAGGATTTTATGGGACTAGGTCGTGCGACAGTTGTTAGCTCTGTTGCATTGCATCTAGGAGGTGCTAGAATCAAATCTAAATTATGCCTTTCTGTCTGAATTGCATTTCTCCTTTACATTAGTGGGTTCCTTCTGAGTACCTTGCACTGTCTGGGGAGAAAAAAAATCCATAATTGGTTGATGGGCCAATATAAATTGCCCTTAGATGCAAGATGGTGCATTCAAGGTACATTTGGAATGTTTACACTAACTTTGACAATCAGCAGTCACCCAAGCAGCACAACATTTATTAAATTTTTTTTTATTCTGGTTTGCTGACCACATTGGTTAAACTAGACCTGAAACCATTAATTGGATTAATTATGATAAATCGATTATTTAAATAATCATGACCTAATATAGTAGTCAGTTAATCCTTAACTGGAGTATAGAGACTCTAAAACATGCCTTTAGCTGACAAAGCATCCACTTATAGAAGTAACTATATCAAAATTCTAAAAAAAAAAAGTATATTTTGCATTTATGTTAAAATCTTTTTCATCCTTTTATATGCTCTATCCAGAACTCCACAGGTCTAAAAGTTTTAGTTTTACCTGTTTTAATTCTGTAAAAATATTCTTTAAGGAACCTTTTGCTGTCTGATTATTTGATTAATCAAATAAATAATCAATACATCAGCTGATTAGCAAAATAATCTTTAGCTGCATCCGGTGCAGTTAACTGTGGCAATATTGCTTTAATTCATTTTGTGTTTTCTTTTGTATATGCTTATTTCACTATATTATGCTTTGAGTTTATGTATCAGTGAGGGATTTGTTATCTGATTTACAAACATGTTATTTTTCAGATTGTGTTAAGAAACTTAAAAGCAGTCCAGTGGAATGTTGAAGCGGTTGAACCAAAGTGTTTTCTGGTGAGTACCTCAAACAGGCTTTTAGTTAGGAATATTTCACAGGGTATATACCTTGGCGTAACTTGGCTTTAGGCTTAGCTTATCGTTGGGGGGTCCGGGGGTATCCCTGAGTCTAAAATTTTGAAATTTAGACTCCCTGAAATGCTATTTCCTACATTTTAAGGTGGAATACAGTTAGCTTTTTGTCTTTGTTACAGAACTTCTTTTTTCCTGATTATGGGAAGTATGTGTTCTTGACTAGAGGTGAAATTTCAGAAGGAAGACGTGAAATAATTTTTAGGTACAATATTATGTTTCATAGGTTTATTCAAACATTCAGAAGGTGCAATGCTATGTTAACACTGCACGCCATTAAAAAAAGCATCTGCTACTTCATGTTTGATGCTTTACAAAGGTCAGATGTGTACAGATGCATCTGATGCTTATGCTACTCTTGTGTTCAATGGCAAAGAGTGGCTTTGCTATATTTGCTGTGATCCGTGGGTAAAAAGAAGGTTTTATATATATTTATATATAAATATATAATTTTTTTTTTTTTTTTGAGTTCTTACTTCACCAGTGGGTCGTTTTATGAACAGTAGGCTGACAGGAAAGGGGGTATGAGAGAGGGAGAGAGACATGCGGGAAAGGACCACAGCGCGGATTCGAACTCTGTTCGCCCGCATCGAGGACTGAGGCCTACATACATGGGTTGTGCACGCTAACCACTGCACCACCAAATCACACCCAGGTTCAATATATTTTGATTTGAGAAATTCCACCTCAAAACATTGTCTGTACAGTCTGGTCATCAAGTTTACAATTCTGCTTTAAATTATTTTGCTATTGGAGCTCCTCTGACCCCAAGATACTGAGGGTTTGCTATCATTGGGAAACCAGCCAACCGCTGCCTCAGGCCCCGTCACCTCTTGGGGGATTTTCCTCTACTGTTTGTGGCGGCTGGAAGTAGATGTTAAGAGTTTTTTTTTTTTTTTTTTTAGGTATTTGGTACAAACTCCAGGCAGAAATGTTGTAGAATCAGATATCATGGTCTGAACACAGTCAGCACTAATATGCACTAATTATTTAGTAAATGTTATGACTAATATTTCAGAATAAACTCGTCGTCATCTTCATCTTTATCCGGGACCGGATCACAGGGGCAGCAGTTTCAGCGGACTTCCCTCTCCCCAGTCACCTCCAGCTCTGCTTGGGGAAGCCCTGAGGCACTCCCAGACCAGCTGAGAGGCATAATCTCTCCAGCTTGTCCTGGTTCGTCCTTGAGGCCTCCTCCCGAGGCAGGCCTCGAGAGGGCATCTGAATAAGATGTCCGAACGTCCTCAGCTGACTTTTCTCGATGTGGAGAAGAAGTAGACCTACTCTGAGCTTCTCTCGAATGACAGAGCTCCTCACCCTATCTCTAAGGGAGAGCCCAGTCCCCCCTATGCCGAGAAAGCTCATTTCAGCCGCTTGTATCAGGTCACGACTGCCCTGTCGAAGTTAAACACGCACTGGAAAAGAGTCTGACTTAATGCAAGCAACTCTTACTCCACTTTTACTGAGAGCATATGGCGCCTAGTAAAGGTCCCCAACTCTGTACTCCTGAACCCTCCCCACTAGGCACCATTATGGACACTGTTGAATGTCTTCTTCTGCAATAGGCTGCTGTTGAATGGGATTCCTGGTGACAGCGTACCGCCTGTATGTGGGTGTCTGAGCGGCTCCGACAGAAATAATATTGGAAGGCAGGATGGTAATCTGGATGAACTGACTGCACAGATTAAGTTTTCAGGTGGATTTTCCCACTTAAAAACATATTAAAACTACTTTATTCCTACTGATCAAAGCAAATATAGCTGCCAGGCAAATGAAGGATAGAGACCCGCAGCCGCGCAGCCAGAGCAGCAAAGCTGCTTCAGCCGCGCGTCAGAACTAAACTGGTACAAGCAGCAAAAAGGAAGCAGCAGACATGATTTTGCTGCTCCTGCTGCGTCCGGTGTGAACGCAGCATAATCATTGCGAACAGTGCAGCCATTGCTGTGTCTCAAAGATTTTTTGCAGTCTTCCAGCTGAGGCGACATTCATTATTTGTCAAAAAGTGATGGTCTACCAAAAAATGATTAACATTGCAAACTGTAGCAGCTGTGATGGGCAGTAAGCTACCACCGACTTTTGAAACTATTATTTACCCTGCATTTTTAAACACTTTTAAACTAGAGACTAATCCATTTTTTATATATATATATATATATATATATATATATATATATATATATATATATACATACATTTTGTAACATATTTGGTGTAAGGAATTGTGCTATAATAAAATGTTCATGGGCTATTCACATATCAGGGCTTTCTAATAACAAATCTAAAATATAACTTTCACCGCATCTGATGGTTCAATAATATAAATAGTTGATTAAAAATAAAATATATATATCTGTTGTTGTCCTTATATAATTATTTATTCAATAATAGATTAGAAACATTTTTTTTATTGAAATGTGGTTTATTTTTGTTCATATATGGTTCAGATTAAAACGCGATTCATTTCATTTAATTAATTAGAAACCCTGTAATTAACTCTATTAAAATCCATCTCCCTACACAAATTTAATTCTATTAATTTAAGTTGTAGGAAATAGCCTTTTCACTTTAATACTGTTAATTTTTTACTCATTGTAAAGTAAGTGGAGCAAAAAATATTAGCAACGTTTAGAAAAAAAATTAATCTCACAAAACTGTTTAGTACCCATTAATTCCAGGTTCAAATGCATTTACTTTCTTGAATATTTTGTGGGGCAGAAATAGAAGTATCTTTGTTATTCTCGGTAAGTGCACTATTCATTTTTTTTTTTGCTGCAGCAGCTAGGTCGGTGACTATACTACCAGACATGTGGCCCACATTAAAAACAGTTACGTGTTGGTAATTTAAGACTCGTTTTGTGGCCTTTCTGATTCGCAACAGTGTTCTGACTTGATGGTTAAATTGTCCTATTTCACATGAAGTTATATATTTTTGCCTAATATGGAAGGTTAATTGTATACTTCCTAACGACAGCTGATTTAATTTTTTTTCACCCCCTGTTTTTTCTTTTATTTATTTATTTTTTTCTTTTTTTTTTTTACCAATTTCCATAAAGGTTGAAACATAAATTACTGGCCTCAAAAAAAAAAAGTATTTTGAGGCCAACATACTTGGTTTTGATGTTTATGTAGACGCATTTGTTTTTTTTTTTAATATCAAAACCTTATCGATATACAATTCACATTTAGATAGCATCTCTTAGATTTATTTTCAGTGATTTGAAAATGATAAACAGCCTTGCACCTGACTTTAGAAGTTTGTCACTAAAATGTAAATGTGGATAAATTCTGAAGAGCAGTTCAATGGAGTTTTCATCTATACCATCCTACTCTGACCCACAAAGCTTTATTACTGAATGAGGCATTCCAGTTTTAATTGACATGCTATTAATATGTAGACATATAAATTGTAATATTTTTTTAGATCTAATTGTGTTTTTTTAATTTTTTTATTTATTTAATTTTTTTGAGCGGTCTTTAAAGGTAGTGGGATAAAACGCATTCTTGTAAAGGAGAGAGACATGGTGTTCTTGCTTATGTAGTTTAATGGGGCCAAATGAAAATGACACTGCTTATGTTTATTTAAATATTTAATTGTACTTATTTTCTCGTTTTTTGAATTGACTCTACATGTTGTTACTGGGACGCGTTATAAAGAGGGATGCTGGACCATATTCTTATGTGCTGGACCAAAAAAAAAAAACAGCGGCTACACACTCACAGCAGTGGTACCGTTATTCACTTTTTGCACACTACCCCGTCATGACAGTGCCAAGAGCTAATGGCTTTGAACTATGGAAACAGGCGCGGACACAGTAACCTACTGGACGGGTGAATATACTTTTTGTCAGTCTTAGTTTTCAGCCATCAGTTTGTTCGATCGCAAATAAAAATCAAAAACGCAGTGTCACCAGTCCCACAGTGATTCAGCGACTCATTTTGCATTTCGGGTCGGTGCTACTCCAACTGTCGCTAGCGTGCTAGCTGTAGCGCGTGCCGCGACGTTATAGCTGGTGAAAACCAGACAAACCGAATCCTAACGACGATTGTTCGAGCTGTTCAGGTATTTCACACATTACCGCGACAGTGTCGTGGTCTACAGAGGGGTTTTTGTTGCTCGGTTTCTTGCATGAGCCGGAACAGCCTAGCAGTGTGTACTACTGGGTCTTTTGTGGCCTGCAGATCCCCGATCTGTATTAGTGAGGAGTCCGGTCTTGAGAGCTTGGTGAACCTGTGTCATGCTATTTGACAGCTTTGGCTCCAAATGTCAAAACCGATCGAGTCCTGTTCCGATAATTTGGAATAGTTGGTAGTTTATTACAAAAAGGTATTAATGCGTGGTTTGTTTAGATTGTACGGCTAAAACGTTGGGATTTAAACAAGATAACGTTTAATAGTTTAACCGGTAGCTTGCTGTTAGCTTGTCAGTGGTTAACATAACCGTAGAAATGTTAATTGGGTTGGCCACTAACTAGCTCATATTTGGGTAGTTTTGCAAGAGTTGATGCTCGCTAATCGACTAACAAAATCTGTTTTGATTAATTGTTAATTTTTTACTGTTCAACACTGCATTTATAAGATTGGGCGAAGAACATTATGGCATGCTATGGTGAGGTTAGCTTGTTAGCAAGGAGGCTATAACTTTGAACAGCGTAATGTCGGAGTGTTAATGATGGTCAAATACGCAGTCGAGTTTATGTTTGTGGTATTTCACTCTGGTCTTTTAACGTTTTTAATATGTATTTGTTTAAACGATGGAACCCAATTTAATTTGATTAACTCTGTGTCGCATGATGGTTATTAGCTAACTGCTAATGTTCTGCTATGGTCTGCTTTGTGATGACCAGACGTCTCAATCTCGGATCAATTTTGCAATTCATTGACTTAAATTAAGGAGCAATTTTGCAAAAATAAAAATTTGGCTAAGACACATTTTCACTTCCTTTAATTGTTCTTTATAGATTTTGAATCTAGAGCTAGTATTAAATCTTTTTTTTATTTGCTGGAAATGATGTCCCTTTAAAATAAATTAGACCATGTCAGTAGATTTTCATGACACAACCTTTATCTGCTTTGGTTTCTGATTTGAGGCATAATGTTGTTTACAGGTAACCTGACTGGAACATGCTCTGAATTGGGTATTGCCAATTAACTTTCTGTAAGTATGTTTAACTTCTTACTCCAACAGTTCAGTTGAACTGTCCATTTCCTATTCATTTTGTTCTTTTAAATAAGTGAATACTGTAATCTTCTTTATTTATAAATCCTAAAACTTTTGTTGGATAAAGATCTTCTTCTTATATACTTAAATTCTTTATAGGAGCAGCAGGCAGAAAATCTCTACAATGAAGGTTGACAGAAGCAAGTTAAAGAAAACACCTACAGAAGCTGTGAGTATGCATAATATTATCTAGGATGGTCCTCCCAATGTTGTGCCCACCTGAATTGATGCCTAAAGATGAACAGTTGACTCAAGGGAGCTTTTTTTAGTCAAAATTGTTGCTTACCATGTTTTGGGAAAGGCATGCATTGGCTTTTAGCTGCATTTCTTTCCCATTGTTCTTCATTCTTTAACAATGAAGAACTGAGGTAAATGAATAGATAATCAATGAATACTGCAGTGTCTTTTATGTTAGTTTTTAAATTGTGTTTTCAATTTTTATACTCATCTGTGTAATTCATATGAATAACTTTGTAATGACAATGGTTTTTTTTTTCAACAATTACTTTGGACTATTGTGGTTAGATTGGCTGGTGGGGTAAAATAATTAGGCCTTAGTTTGATCTTGTTCTGTTAATCAGAACTAACTCTTTGATGGTCAGCTGCAAAACAGAAAGAAGTTAATTGTGCTGAACACTGGTATTTCTTCTATTACATCTGTTACTAAGTCCTTTAAATAGTTCTGAATAGGGTTGGGCAATTAAATGCTTTTGCAATTTATTCACAATTTAGCAAAACACAATTTTCAAATCTCAGAGGCACTCAATTTCAGTCACATTACATTTAAAATGAGTAAGATAAATTAGTTAAATAAATTTTTCCCTCCACCATTTAAGGTGGTGCTAATATGCTAAAAAACTACACAGAATGGAAGAGACAGTTTCAGGAAGTAGGAACTTTTTCACACAAAGTTTACAGTAAAGACCTGAAACAAGGTCATAAATAAACTGAAGCCCTAAAGTTAAACATCTACACGTTGTGCTCAGGTAAAGGGGAATTACAATGAAATCGCTATATTGGTTGAAATTAATTTAGATTTTTGGCAAAATCGTTCAACTCTAGTTTTGAAGTGTATTTGGGGATTTTATCTTGTATTTGTAGGGGAGCCCATCATTTATTAATCTTAAGGAATAGTTGGAATAATGACCTTTGCTAAAGCATCTAACCTTTACTTAATATTCATAACCAACTATGTTTATTTATTACAAACAATTTTCTTCTATCATGTTTGACTTTTAATGACTAAATATGGTAACATATTCTGTAGCTTAAAACATAAGAATCGTGATGTTATGTTTACTTATGTCTACTTTTAACGAGATACAGATTTGTAGAGCTATTCAAAAGTGTTTGATTCATTTCAAAGACTTTCCTTTTATTTTCTATTCGGAAACTACAGCCAGCTGACTGCAGGATCCTTATAGAGAAGCTAAAAGCATGTCATGATGAGCAGCTTCTGGTTGAACTGCAGCAAATCAAGACTTGGAACATTGGCAAGGTACTTTCCATCAAAACTGAAAATAAAGGAATCTTTTCATGTTTTCTGTCACGCATGCCTTTTTGACAACTGTCTTGTGGTTCTTGTGTGCCTACATTACAGTTTGATTTAAAATGCATATCTAGCTGTATCTACTTTTTTATATTTCTGTTGGTGTGTTTTTGTCTCTATTTTAAAAGCGAACATATTGTTACCGTATCATTTCTGTTTACTCTTGAGCATCCTTTCTAAAAATAAATCTAGTTTAAACCAGTTGTTTAAACAACTCTGCTCTCAGCAATAAAAAAAAAAACATTTAGGGCAATGTTTTAAGGTTTTTTTGATCTGTTTTTGTTTTGGTCAACAGTGTGAGCTTTACCATTGGGTGGATCTGCTGGATCGCTTTGATGGCATTCTTTGCGATGCAGGCCAGACAGTGGAGAATATGTCATGGCTGCTGGTGTGTGACCGTCCAGACAATGGACAGCTCAAAGCTTTGCTTTTGGCAGTGCTCAACTTCACAGCTCTGCTCATTGAGTATAGCTTTTCTAGGCATCTCTACAGTTCCATAGAGGTGAGCTCATATTTTTTTTTCTACCGTTATGTTTTATTTATTTCTCATTTCAAAAGAAAAATTTAAAACATAGTATAACCATCTTTTATATCGGCTGTCACTCATTTGCAGCACTTAACCACCTTGTTAGCATCATGCGACATGCAAGTGGTCCTGTCTGTGCTGAACCTACTGTACGTGTTCAGCAAACGCTCCAATTATATCACAAGGCTTGGATCTGATAAAAGAACACCTCTCCTGGCTCGTCTACAACACCTGGCTGAGGTTAATTGAAGGCTACTCTTTTACTCTTCAGCACAAATCTAATTGTCATTTTCATGAAAACATTGTTTTAATTGGTCTTCTTCTGTTTTGCACAGAGTTGGGGTGGGAAGGAAAATGGCTTTGGTCTGGCTGAATGCTGCAGGGATTTGACCATGACGGTGGGAATTTTACTCTGGCATTTTTATACCCTGGTTTTTTTACTTATTTGCACTACTTCTATAATTCTGCTTGACCATTTGTATGTATGTGTTTTTATTTTAACTTTAACAAATTTGCTTTTATTTTTATTCCCCCACTGTGTGTTGCTTTATGAACAGAAGTATCCTCCAAGTGCCACCACTCTGCACTTTGAGTTTTATGCTGAACCAGGCCCAGAGGTCAAAGTGGACAGAAAGGTAAAGGTCAAGCAATCATAGTTTGAATCATCAGACTTTTTATTTACTATAATGGTTCAGGTTTTACATAATTGTTTTTCAATTTTTATTCTTTTAACAGACATGTAGTAACACACTACACTATATTCACATCGAGCAGCTTGACAAGGTGATGTTCTAAGAGAATCAATGCTGGCTCTAATAGTTTTTGGGATTATACAGGACCTTGCATTTTAACCTAGCCCTTACTCTATGCCTGTTAGATCTCAGAAAGCCCATCTGAAATCATGGAGTCGCTGACCGTAATGTACAACATCCCTAAAGACAAGCAAACCCTTCTGTTCACGCACATTCGTCTGGCCCATGGCTTCTCAAATCACAAAAAAAGGTTGCAAGCAGTGCAGGCCCGACTACATGCCATCTCTATTCTGGGTGAGTAGAAGCGTTATTTTAGAGAAAGTGCTCATTTTTTCCTATTATGCTCTTATATTTTCCTGTTTGTTTTCAGTGTATTCAAATGCTCTGCAAGAGTCTGCCAACAGTATTCTGTATAATGGCTTGATAGAGGAGCTGGTGGATGTCTTGCAGATCACAGACAAACAGCTTGTGGTAAGAAAGGAGTTACTTTTTCTGCCAACTGCACAAAGTTTTGTTCCCCTCATAAATTGTATTTTTTAATCAGGAAGAGATACGCAGGTTTTTTTTTTTGTTTTCAGATAATTTGATGTTCGTTAGTGGATTTTCTTATGCAATATTCTAAATGATAGTCTTTATCTTATGCATTATTGGCTTTTGCTTTTCAGGACATCAAAGCAGCATCTCTGCGCACATTGACATCAATAGTCCACCTGGAAAGGACACCCAAGCTTTCAAACATTATCGACTGCACTGGCACAGCATCCTATCACGGCTTCTTGCCTGTATTGGTGCGCAACTGCATACAAGCAATGATTGGTGAGGTTCTCTGGTATTTTAAAATCTACTGACTTTAACAAATTCAACAAATAAGGTTGAATTAAATTTAACCAAATTGTTAAAAGCTATTTTAAATCTTATTCATTTTATTCTTTTCATAAAACAAAAATTAGTCAATGTGTTATTTCAGTGTGTGGCCGCTCCCCTACTGCACCTGCCTTGTGTGTTGCAGCAGCAGATTGAGCAATTCCACAATACTCCATCTTGAATTAAAGTTTGATTATCAAATTGTGTTTTCTGTACTATAGAAATTGATTAAATTCATTTTTTTTCTCTTTACCTTAGACATGGCTAATTTGTGCTTGGTTGTTTTAGAACTTAAATTTAATCCCTTTGGTTTTTTTGCATCAGTTTACAGAAAAGGTGCAAGCTGAAGGAAATGAGATGATTCAGATGAACATTTGGTTCTCAATTTTTCCACCTTTTTTTCTCAGATCCTTCTATGGAACCCTACCCACACCAATTTGCCACAGCGCTCTTCTCTTTCCTATACCACCTGGCTAGCTATGATGCTGGAGGGGAAGCCCTTGTTTCCTGTGGTATGATGGAAGCCCTTCTAAAGGTACATGTTGATCATCATAGTAGGTATTTACAAATTAAAGTTTTTATTTTAAGAAAGTTGATCACTTATTTTCTATTATACCCAGGTGATCAAGTTCTTAGGCGATGAGCAGGACCAGATCACTTTTGTGACACGAGCAGTGCGGGTTGTGGACCTCATCACCAATCTCGACATGGCTGCCTTTCAGTCCCACAGCGGCCTTTCTATTTTCATTTGCAGACTAGAGGTGAGTTCTACAAATGGGGTATTACTTCTGTTCTAATCCAGCTACACTTACGTTCAGTCATCACACACTTAGTTACTGTCTTTTCTTAGCACGAGGTGGATTTGTCGCGGAAAGAGTGCCCTTTTGTCATCAAGCCAAAGATACAGAGGCCGAGTGCAACTGTGGAGTCTGAGGATATGGACACAGACATGGAGAGTAAGTCGGAACACATGGACCTACCACATTTGCGCTTTCACAGTGGAATCTGAACCCTCTGAGCTATGTTCATCTGGCAGTGCGGCTGCAGTTAGATAGCCTGTCTGTTGAGCAAATAATAGAACGGAACCCACAGAAACATCCAAGTTACAGATGGTAAGGCAAATTGCGAAAGTACGGCTCAATCTGTTTTTTAGTTGTTTTCCAAATTTTGCATCACCAGCAGGCATTGATGAGCCCAGTATGTCCTGTGTAAATAGTACAAGCTTTACTCCCAATTTTTTATTAAAGAATTTATTTATTTATTTTTTTAGTTAGTTCGAACTTTTTCTTGGCTTGCAATGTGGAACTTAATATAAATCAGTCAAGTTTTTAGTCACTGCCTAGCAATATATTTTTTCGTCATGATGGCTACTGTTAGTGTTTTGGTTCGTTAAAAAACAGATATTGTTGCGAGAGTACTTTCATAAAAAGAAAGGCAGGGTTTGACACCTTTACTTGCCTCCTTAATCACAAAATCTGAATCCATTGAAACACTTTTTATATAGGGATGACTAGCAGGACATCTGCAGTAATCATGAAATGCAGGCATGTTGATGCAAATTTAAGCATCACAGGAGCTTTTGACTGATGTGAAAAAGCTGCGTCGTTTTTAGTGGAGATACATTTTCAGGTCTTTTTTTTTGTTTCGTTTTCTTTTAATGTCAGTATTTGATGTGAAATTATCTATTCTTGTAGTGTCAGAAGTTGCCATGGAAAGTAGCCCTGGACCATCAACATCTACTGGTTCTAGGCCAGAGGTCGACCACCGAGCGCAGAGCAGTTCTAACACGCCTCGTACAGGTATGGAGCATTAGCATAGAATGTTGTAAAACATAACTGTGGCTACCGTTTTCACCACAGTGATGATATTTCTGTAGGCATGCAGTGTATCCCCCAGAGGGCTGCTCTTTTGAAGTCGATGCTGAATTTCTTAAAGAAAGCCATCCAAGATCCTGCCTTTTCTGATGGCATTCGTCATGGTAAGTTACAGACATCATCTCACATTGCTTTTAAAGAAGTGTGCTTCATTTGTTTGCCTTTTCAAAAGGTCTGTGAATTTTCATACACTACTACTATTAGTATTTGTTTTTCTTGTAATTTAGTAATGGACGGCTCCTTGCCTACCTCACTTAAACACATCATCAGTAATGCGGAGTACTATGGCCCGTCACTGTTTCTCTTGGGTAAGTGCACAGCAGCCTCTCAGTTATGATCCTCCTTCATTATAGATGCATCTCCTATTTAGATTTATATGCAAGGAAATGTTATATTTTGGCTTATATATGATAAAGTTTTTGATGCCGATGTGAATTATGTTTTCTTTTTTCTCCCATGTGCCCTTAGCGACAGAGGTGGTGACGGTTTTTGTGTTCCAGGAGCCATCCCTGCTCTCCTCTCTGCAGGATAATGGTCTCACTGACGTCATGCTGCATGCCCTTCTTATCAAAGACGTGAGTTTCCATTCTCCTGCATATTTTCCATGATGGATTGATTTTATCCAGCTGTTGGTACTACTCCACTCCTTGATCTGCTTATTTTGTGTTGATATTAGGACAAAATAAATTGAGAAAAAAACTTTTAACCTCTTCAGCAGATTTCATATAAATGTATCGCCTTGTTCTTTAAAATAAACAGATAAAATAGCTCTGTTTAAAAACTGATGAAAAAAAAAAGTTGACTATATCATACTGTTTACTCAGGTTCCTGCTACCCGTGAGGTGCTGGGTTCTCTCCCTAATGTGTTCAGTGCTCTCTGCCTGAATGCCAGAGGTCTGCACTCTTTTGTTCAGTGCCAGCCTTTTGAGCGCCTCTTCAAAGTGCTTTTGTCCCCAGACTACCTGCCTGCCATGCGACGGCGGCGTAGCTCTGACCCTTTGGGTGAGTTTCCTGACTCTGCTGTTTTTCACGTTCTCTTTTGGAAGACATTTGAATTCGTTAAACAATACCTTCTTTTTTTTTTTTTTTACTTTAGGTGACACTGCATCTAACCTGGGCAGTGCTGTGGATGAGCTCATGAGGCACCAGCCCACTTTAAAGACCGATGCCACCACTGCCATTATTAAGGTAGTTATTATTTTCATCTAAACACTTTAAGGTTACCAAATGAAATGGTGCACCGTTATTAAATCTGAATTACTGTTGCAGTTGCTGGAGGAGATCTGCAACTTGGGTCGAGCCCCTGAGTACATCTGTCAGAAACCATCTATCCAAAAAGCAGATGGCACTGTGGCGGTGCCACCTGCACGCTCCAGTCATGCTGCTGAGGAAGCATCTAGTGAAGATGAGGAGGAAGAAGAGGCCCTCCACACATTCAGCCAACAGCAGGGGGAGCCAGAGAGCAACAGACAGTCAGTGCCACTTGAACTGTATGACTGACTTCATAACTAGATAGAGCAAAATGACTCTTTAAAGATGTTTGTCTGTATCTATTTTACTGAATTTTATTTGAGTGAAATTTTAATTGTGTGATGTTGTTTGTAGGGTTGTAGGGACTGAAGAACGGATACCCATTCCTCTTATGGACTATATTCTTAATGTGGTGAGTTTGTTGATTAAATTTGTTAGACTTTCTCCCTGCTAAAAGGCTTGGGCATTAGCAAGAATCTGTATAACTGGCAGTAATAACAATTTTACAGATATTCCTTCATTGTTAAGAAATTCAACTGAATAAAATACTTGAAATGCATAAAAATGTTGCAATTAAAAAAGAGGTATTGTTGCATAACTTAACCAAAATTTAAATATTTTTTAATGTAACATTTAGTTGGTTTAATTAATATTTAGTTGGTTTCACTCCAGTAATTTCTTTACTGTGCACTTTCTGTTTTTTTAGATGAAGTTTGTGGAATCCATACTGAGCAACAACACCACAGATGACCATTGTCAAGAGTTTGTCAACCAGAAAGGGTTGCTGCCTTTAGTCTCCATTTTGGGCCTTCCCAACTTGCCCATAGATTTTCCGACCTCTGCAGCCTGCCAAGCTGTGGCTGGTGTCTGCAAGTCTATATTGGTGAGCTAATAAACAGTTACGATATATTGATCCATATGGGTTGTTCAAGGTGTAAAATAAGAAAATCTTCCTAATTTCTTAACCTCCAGACTCTCTCACATGAGCCGAAGGTCCTCCAGGAGGGCTTGTGCCAACTGGACAGTATTCTGACATCTCTAGAGCCACTTCATCGTCCAATAGAGATGCCTGGTGGGTCTGTGCTTCTGAGAGAATTGGCTAACGCAGGCCATGTTACTGATGCCACATTGTCAGCACGGGCTACACCACTCCTGCACGCCCTAACCGCAGCCCACGCCTACATCCTAATGTTTGTCCACACATGCAGAGTTGGACAGGTACATTTTAAATGTATTATATTATTTTTGGGTAAAATGTCTTTGGGGAATGTCTTGATTAAAGTCATTCAGTATTTCTAAGTGCGTTTGTTCTCCCTCAGAGTGAAATCCGAGCAATCTCAGTGAACCAGTGGGGCTCCCAGCTGGGGTTAAGTGTACTGAACAAGCTGAGTCAGCTCTACTGCTCCTTGGTTTGGGAAAGCACTGTTCTGTTGTCCCTTTGCACTCCAAATAGGTAAGTGGCACATTCATTAAATTCTTTATTTTACTCTTACTTGTTCTGTCAATTGCATCGCTTTGTATGTTTCCTCAACAGCCTGCCTCCAGGATGTGAGTTTGGCCAGGCTGACATGCAGAAACTGGTGCCCAAAGAGGAGAAGCCATCCGGTATGACAACAACAACAACAACAACAGCAGCAGCAGCCTCAGGATCCAGGAGAACTGGTAATGTCACCCTTAATATATGCTTTTGTATTGCTGACATCTACCCAAATCCTCTTCATCAGTCTTTTCTACCCTGATTAAACAGAAACAGACGCTGTGTCTGTAGATTCAGCTGCCGGTGGTCTACTGGAGGGCATGTGTCTAGATGGAGACACCCTGGCTCCTATGGAGACTGATGAACCCTCTGCCACAGATCCAAAGTCAAAGTCCAAACTTACTCCAGCCATGGCCACTCGCATCAAACAAATCAAACCTCTGCTCTCTGGTAAATCAACTGCTACTTATATTCCATGCTTATGTCATTAATCTAACCTTTCCTAAATGTCTCTTTAATGGTTGTGTAACTGTTTAACTTTGTTTGCAGCATCATCCAGGTTAGGCAGGGCTCTGGCTGAACTCTTCGGCCTGTTGGTGAAACTGTGTGTAGGCTCCCCGGTGCGTCAGAGACGTTCCCACCATGCCACAAGTACAGGCACCACTCCTACGCCTGCAGCACGAGCAACTGCCTCAGCCCTCACCAAGCTTCTCACCAAAGGCCTGAGCTGGCTGCCCCCTCCATACACGCCCACACCACGGTTCAGGCAAGAACCAACTAATACTGCTACTTCGTTTGCCATTAACAGAAGGAGACTAACTCTTATGTTTATCTTTGCAGGCTGACCTTCTTCATCTGCTCCGTGGGTTTCACGTCTCCAATGCTGTTTGATGAAAGGAAATACCCCTACCATCTCATGCTGCAAAAGTTCTTTTGCTCTGGAGGACATGATGCTTTATTTGAGTAAGTCGTGTTAAATTACATATTTATGTAGGGATGCACGATATAATCGGCCCCCTATCGGTATCGGCCTTAAAACTGAATATCAGACATCGGCCACCCCACCGATATTTAACCCGATATTTGATCAGCTTCTGAGTTTCTAAAGTCTAAAAAAATAAAAATAAATACTTCTTCCTCAAAAACTTCTTTTTTACAGACTTAAAAACTTCTAAAGACGAGGGAAAAAATATTGATCCATTAAAATATCCCAATATCTTCATA